AACCATGTGAATGTACCTTCTGTGGAAAATCTAATCGAAAAGAAGCCCTTGCCATATTTTATAGATAAATAAAACTCTCAAAGGATTGAGGAGCCAAGAGAAGTAATGAAATGCTTTTGTACATTCTGTTAATTCTATGGAATAAGTACCAAAATGAAAATTCAATGTTTGTTTTAGTACTTAAAGAATGCTCCAGGACTCCAAGAAAAATACACAAAATCTGCTGTAATTAAAGTTAAATTATTTCAAAGTGCCTGGGTGGTTGGGGTGACTCAGTCAGTTGAGTGTCCGACTCTTGGTTTCAGCTCAGGTCATGATCTCGCCGTTCATGAGTTTGAGCCCGGAGTAGGGCTCCACATTGACAGTGCAAAGCCTGCTTGGGATTCTCTCTCTCCCTCCCGCTCCCTCTCTCTCTCTCAAAATAAATAAATAAACTTAAAAAAAATAAATACTTTTTAAAAAAGTATAAACAACTAATAGCATCAGGGTATTAAGTTAATAATTTTAAATGAGAAGTTTCATCTGACTCAAAATTTTGAAAAATACATCCGGAAATGACAGATCACAGGAATCAAACTTTTGATATAGGCAAAGTAAAGCAATACAATAATCCAAAAAATAAGGCTAAAAACATTCATTTTAAAAACATCTAGCTACATACATGAATGCAGTGTGTAGCTCTAGAGAAGAACCATGCTAACAGCTTTGTGAAATTAAATTTATTACCTTAGCCTTAACAACTTATATTTAATTAGTCTTCAACTCCTGGGGATTTTAACCCTGAAGCGTCTCCAATCTATATTCTTTTGCCAATGTCCCAGTGAAACCTCTTTTTTAGGTTCTTATGGTAAATTACCTGGCCACCATGGCTCCATTCCTACATACCCTTCCCATTGCTACTGGAATTTCTAGCATAAATCTGGTGGTCCCACTCACCACTTTGCTTTAACACTTTAGTTATCCATTGCTTTTATAGTAAAGCTCAAATGTTTTCATGTGGCTATCCTTTTTTCCTTTCCTTCTCCAAAATCATGCCCCCCCCCCCGCCAAATATCCAAATATGGAAACGATCTAGTTGATTTTTTTTTTTTTTTCTTTTAGGCTATTGGTCCTGGACTGGGTATCTAACACTAGCCAGGCCAAAAACAGTCCATTCCAGAAATATCGACTCAGGACTGACAATCAGTTCATCTCTCTTTGAATGCCTGCAGCATACAAAAGTTCAGAAGCAGTGTCCACATTTTCTGCCAACTGAACCAGGAAAGGGGAGAAATCCAGTTATAAAAGAGAGAGAATGAGGATGTGCAGAGAAGCTTGAGCCCAAAGTTAGGAAACTGAGTGCTCAATCCCAGCTTTTCTTTGAGTCCAGCTGCATCCCTGTCCTGGAGTCCAGTGGGACAAGTCAAACCCTTCTCAATAAATCTCCGCTACGAGGCTAGTTCAAAGAGTTTCTGATACCTGCACCAAAGTCAGTCCTAATCTACTCCCCTACCCAGTACATGACAACATGGCGGCTCAACCACAACCTGTCTTGACAGCCTTGTTTCCCACCGTTCTCACCAGCCCTTCATTTAACCGCACTCACTCCCCTGCATCAAAGTCAAAACATGGCTCCATTCTCTGTGCTCATTGTCCTAAGTAGTTGTCTCCTTGATTACATTTACCATATTATCATATAGAATTCCCGCTCATTTATATATTATTTTGTAAGTTCAAGGACGTAGTCTTATTCGTTTACATAGCTCAATGCCCAACACAACTGAAAAACATACGGCAAGTACTTAACAAATGTTTGATAAATCAGATTATTCAAATCAATTAGTTCTTGCTACATAGGCTCTGCAAATTTGCCCCCGAAAGACTTGACCAACTTACTGTTTTAATATCTGATTAAGAAAGCAGTCTTTCATGAAGAATGTAATTTTCTGTTTCAACAGAATAACTTATGTGTGAAATAAACTGACCAGGTAAAGTAGTATCAACTTCAGAGATCCCAAGTCCCCATCTACACTCTCCTAAAGGGCCTGAATCAGTGACTTGAATGTAGAAATTGCAATCTTATACCTACAATGCACTTCCTTCTCTTTTTTCTCATATATTTTATAATTATTCATTCTGTTAAATTGTTCTGCCTCAAGATCTAGAGATGTTGATCACTCTTACAGTATCTGCTGTTTGCCCTGAAGTGTTCTTAAAATAAGTTGATTACTCAGCCATACAAAGTAGAAACCTACCCTATCAACCAATTTTAATATTTAGGGTTTTTACTGAAAAGTCTTTTATTTGTTTATTAACGTTTATTTATTTTTGAGAGAGTCAGACAGAGCTCAAGTGGGGGAGGGGCAGAGAGAGAGGGAGACATAGAATCCAAAGCAGACTCCAGGGTCTGAGCCATCAGCACAGAGCCCGACGTGGGGCTTGAACTCGTGCGTCATGAGATCATCACCTGAGCCGAAGCCGGATGTTTAACTGAATGAGCCACCCTGGTGCCCCTTTCTGAAAAGTTCTTTAACCCCAAATGTAGTTCCAAATAGATTTCCAATAGGTTAGTTTTTGTTTCTAATGTATTATACTAATGTCTAATTACCTGGAGGCCAGGGGGAACAAAACAAATTATTTTGTTTTATTTTGCAATCATCCTAACAACCAAACAAAGGGAATAAAACACAATTTCTTTATGGCAAACCTGGTTTATTGAACTTCATAAGGGAAACATTACAGTGACACTATTCCACAATGAAATTACTTAACTTTAGATTTCGTGAGGAAACATATTAGCAATATACTGTCAATAAAGCATCATCATTAATAGCTAACTACATTAGATTCTGGATTAGCTTCCTTCAGTGTTCTCAAATTAAGACTTTTCCAAAACATATCTGATGTTTTCAATTAAAGGTCACAGTTAAAATAAATTCACATAGGAGTTACAAAATGTGTGACTTGTGCTTTAAAAATTTGTAATTATTTGTTTGATAGCCACCATTCTGGAAGTGATTTCTCAACAATGAAATGTTTTATAAATATTTTGGAAAATATCTAAAAGCTTTATCCCCCAACTGATAAGTATGCTCTTTTAAAAAATAAAAACATATGTAGAAAAAATTAAAACAGTAAATCATTACAAATGAGATACAAATATTTCAAAATTAATAAATATTAAAGTGAAAAACTAAGTCCTTTCACAGAACTGTAAAGGATACCTGTTACTAAGTTCTTAAAAAAAGAAATAAAGTTAAATAATTTTTTTTAACCATTATTAACAGCACTTAAAAACAGAAATGTGTGTGGAAAGTTTGTAAACTTTCTTCCCACACTTCAGAAAATGTTTTAAAAGCAATAAAGATTCCCTTCTTTAAAAAACTGCTACACCCACCACAATTAGCACAGTTGTCATTGTTTTACTATAAAAATAGTTACAAAGCAACATTAATTTAAATTCAAACCATTTTTAATTCTAGCAAGATAAGAAAGTGGATTAATCTCCCTAGACACAGATAAAGCCAACCTGTTTTTCCTTAAGCTCTAATATTTAAAATTGAGTAATTATTTTCTAAAATTATTACTTTCAGTTATTTCATTTAATAGAATTATCTTGTTTTTATAATTAGATTATCCAGTTAGGACCACCGTAATGATTAAACAAAAATCCTAAACTACACTAGATAACATAGTTCATTGATTTACCACATTCTGAAAATATTCTAAGTACAATCATCTTTTGGCTTAATTACCTCTAGAATTATCAAGGACGGCAATCTATCAGAATCAGTGAATGTGCACCCTTCAAAGTTCATGGCTTACATTCCATTCATGTAATAGCTTTATATGCAAGCTTACTATTTTCAATGTGCAAAGTCTCAAACTCAAAATAAAAGTATTTAGGGTAAAAAAAAACTTCTTGAACTATTCTTTCCACAACTGAGGGAGAGAGACAAGGTATTTTTCAATATTTAATTTATTTTTCATACTGAGGAGGAATAGTTTGTTGTGACCATAAAATTTAAAGATTTAAAAAACTGATATACTGTAACACAATACTATTACAGAAATATATGTAGACTCATAGCAATTAGAGGTATGCCCTCAGAGCTACACTCCAAATAGAAGTTGAGTTGTTAATTCAACCTTTAGTTATTAAATTAACTGACTGTGGAAGAGAACAAGAGATACTATGCCAGATATAGAGCCTGAAATTACGAAGAGCTAAGAATAGGTCTCCTGTGGTTGCCAGGAACCACGTTTAACTATTTTCCTCCCAAGTTACAACTCCTCAAATGTTTTCAATTGGTTTTTCACTAAAGATATCAAAATAAAATATAAAGCACCTTATTATGTCGCTTCATTTTCATTAAAGTCAGACTTATTTTTGTGTATTTTAACAGAAATTAGTAAGAAAACAAATTATTCTTTTAAAAGTAACAATGACTTCTGTAGATATGATTGATACTGATTAGAAATACCAAGCATCTGGAATCATTGGAAAAGTCACTCTTTATGCACTGAGAACCAGAAAACATTCCATGCCTTCTCCTCCCACTGGAACGACATAAAGTCTTGGCTCTAAAATGTACCAATAATAATGCAATTAAATATATCAATAATACAAAGAAAGAACTATAGGCAGAGGCAAATACCAGGTTTATCCTATTGAGAACACTTCCCATTCAAAGGACATACCTAGGAAGTATGTCCTAAACCTTTAATTTTTTGTTTTCAATCCCATGAATACAGGATTGAACAGTCACTTACTCCTAAAATACTATCATGCTCTCATCTGAAGCCTCCTTCTTTGGGTTCTCAATGGAAAAATGTTCTGATTCATTCTACCTTTGCTTCATTTTCTTTTTTTTTTTTTCAACGTTTATTTATTTTTGGGACAGAGAGAGACAGAGCATGAACAGGGGAGGGGCAGAGAGAGAGAGGGAGACACAGAATCGGAAACAGGCTCCAGGCTCTGAGCCATCAGCCCAGAGCCCGACGCGGGGCTCGAACTCATGGACCGCAAGATCGTGACTTGGCTGAAGTCGGACGCTTAACCGACTGCGCCACCCAGGCGCCCCTTTGCTTCATTTTCAACCTCACATGAAAACCAACTTTTTCCCTGTGTTGTCACAGTGACAAACTTAATTAAGTAGATACAAAATACAAAAAATCAGCATGACAATGATAAATAGTAAAGTGTCAGGATGATCCATTATACTTGAGATTAAATCTTATGACTTAACACTGTCATACTTCAAAAGTATTTCTTTTGTCAAAATTAGATAGTATAATAAAGACTGTTACTTAGCACCAGCATGTCATTGCAGGCTTTGGTTCAGGCTTCAGAGTAATTCCGTTATCGGGGGGTTGACTAAGCATTAATGGTTTGTGGCTCTTAAGTTTATGAGCCAAGGTCATAAATATAGCTTCCACATGGTCATTATCATTGGGGTTTTTCGCAGAGGTTTCAAACAAAGGCATACTATGTGTGTCAGCAAATTTCTGTGCCAAGTCTGTAGGTACTTGAATGGCACTTCTCAAGTCACATTTATTTCCAACAAGAATCCGTGGTATGTCACTGGCTAGCAAATGTTGTTTGCATTCTTCTATCCAAGATGGTAGGCTATGAAAACTAGCCATGTTGGTCATATCATACACGAAGACAACAGCATGTACATTTCTGTAGTAGTGCTGTACCATGCTCTTTCTAAATCGTTCTTGTCCTGCTGTGTCCCATAACTGGATCTGAAAGTGAAAAAGGAGAGAAAACTGAACATTTCATTCCAATCATACATATTGAAAATTTTAATCAACTCTGCATGGTCTTTAGTACGTCTTCACTTACACTACTTTGTTCCCTTCCATAATGCCTTTTCAGTGTAATTTATGGGATCCAGATTTCATGACACTAATTACCTCATAATTAATGCAAGTATCAGAACAAATATTTCAATTTAGCATTTAAATTTCAGTAAGTTAAATTTGTCTGGAGGAAATTTACCTCAAAAACCGATTCTAAAATATTAAATAAAAATATATCAGGTTTTAACAAACACGTTAACTGTCTAATCCCTGTAAATTTGGTTACCATAAGCCCTTCTCTACCTTTCACCAGACTAACTTTAAAATAGACTTAGGCGGGGCGCCTGGGTGGCGCAGTTGGTTAAGCGTCCGACTTCAGCCAGGTCACGATCTCGCGGTCCGTGAGTTCGAGCCCCGCGTCGGGCTCTGGGC